TTGCTTATAGTGTTGAAAAAAGTAAGGAGTTACAGTGACATAAGGGCATTTGTTAAAGAGACGGTGTGTGTGTGTGTGTGTGTGTGTGTAAAGACAAGTTTGGCACATTTACGCAGTCTACCCGTAACTTCGTGTGGCTGGAGAGTACAATGTGTGACATGTGTCCAGGCAGGGGGTCATTTCATAAATATACTTGGCCTTCAGTGGTAAGGACTTCATATTTTTACAGAGGGTAATTGGGAATTAGTAGGCAATTTTAAACAAAAAAGATACCCTCAATGTTTATATTTTATAAATTTACTCTGCAGCAGAGAGAATAATTTATTTTTTTAAAAGGATGGATGACAGAGGCATGGAACCCATCTTTTATTTTTTAATTTTTGGAATGGATCTTGCTGTGTAGGTCAGGCTGGTCTTGAACTCATTATGTAGTCTACCTGGCCTCGAATGGACAGGATCCTCTTGCTCGGCCTTCTGAGTGCTGGGACAGAAGCTGTGCACCACTATGCCCAACTTGGAAACGTTTCCAATGTGGAAACACAGGAGAAAAAGAAGTATACAGCAGCAGTCTTTCAATTAGTCTTTTGTATACAGCAGCAAAATATTTCCATCAGCATATCTACAAATGGACTTCTCCTGCACTGTATGGCTCATGATTCTGTCAGGGTCTGCAGAGTGGATATCAAGGAAGTAGCAGTAGCTCAGTCCCACAAGTGACAGCCAGCTACTAGTAAGTGTCCTGGACACTGTCCATGTCTACCACATACTAGAACTTTGTGTGATATCCTAACCCGAAACTGTTAGAAGTGCTGGTCATAGATTTGCCATTCCAGTATTTATGTTATGTTTTATTCTTAGTAATCCTTTACTATTATGGAAATTTTTTCTTAGTTGATATTTTTATAAATATTAACCAAATCAAATACTGTGTGAGTAATCTGAATTGATTGGGACCAGGGAGATGGCTCAGTGGAATAAGCGCTTCCCTGGCAAGGGCAAGGATAAGGGCAAGGGCCTGAGTTCAATCCCCAGTTCTGGAAAAAAAAAAAAAATCTGAAGTGATCACATATGCATACATATGATACACAACGTTCTGGCCTCTTCGTTGGACTCATAATTTAATTTTAATTTTTGAGTATTATTTTGAAATTTAATTTTGAATTAATGTTTAATTAATTTTCTGAATATTGTTTAATTTTATTTTTGTTTTATGATTTATACTATTTCGTTGGCTTACAATCTGTTTATGGTATATTTTCCTAAAGTATTAGAAACTTACAAAAAAAATTATAAATTTAGGGCTGGAGAGATAGCTCAGTAGAATAAGTGCTTGCCGGGCAAGCGCAAGGACCTGAGTTCAATCCCCAGTTCAGCCAAAACAACAACAACAACAACAAAATGTATTAGAAACTTTAAAAAATGTATTTCCATTTTCCATTTACTTTATATTAGTTGTCTTTTACACACATATAAAAAATTATGTATATAACCTGAAATTGATACTGTTTTGTGGAAATCTTCAATGGCCTTTTAAGTGGGTTTGCCTAATATAATTATATTTTACATAATCCTGCAGAACTACCGTTTTGAGAGTTCTTTATTCTTTATCCAGGACCATACAGCAGATTCTCTTGCCTTCTGGAATACGGTCTTTGTATTTTCTATATGCTATATCTAGAGCTATTAGAATATTTTGAGTTTGTATAACTAGAAAATATTTTACTTTTGGTTTTCTAGGGTATGTTTGCTAAGTATAAAATTCACTGAGGGAAGATCTTTTTTTCTTTCAGTCCTCTGAATAAATTAGTTTCTTGTCCACTTGATCTTTTTTTTTTTTCTAATGTGGAATAAGATGCTATTTAATTTTGTCCTTCTATAGCTAATATTTTTTCTATGCATATGCTTTAATGATTTTTTTTTCTTTACAGTTAGTTTTGGACAATTTCATTTTTGTGTATCTTGGTATGATTTTATTCATATTTCTTGTGCAAAAGGTTCATTTTTCTTGGAAATATGGTAATATAATTTCAACTAAATTCAGAAATTTTAAATCTTTAAATATTTATTGCCTACCCCTTTCTACTTTGAGAATGCTAAATATATGAAAATGAATTTCCTGATTTTGGCACAGAGTGAACTATTATATGACTGATCTGTAAACTCTTTCTTCTTCATGTTTATTTTAGACAATTTTTATTGTTATATTTATTTAAGTTTGGGGCCGGGGAGATAGCTCAGTAGAATAAGTGCTTGCCTGGAAAGCACAAGGGCCTGAATTCAATCCCCGGTTCTGAAAAAAAAAAAAAAAAATTTATTTAAGTTTATAATTTATTTACAGTGTGCAACCTATTATTAATCTTATGTACTCATTTCAAAAGTATTTTTCTAAAATTCACTGTGTACATCTTATGTCTTTCACATTTCAATATTTGTCTATAATTTTTAATTGATATATAGTTATTGATTTTCAATAAAGTGAATGAGTTAAAAAAAGAACATTACAATTATTTTTAAATGTATAGGGAAGGCTTATAAAAGTGTGAGAAGGGGATGGGGAGATGGCTCAGTAGAATAAGCACTTGTCTGGCAGGCACAAGGGCCTGAGTTCAGTATCCGGTTCAAAAAAAAAATTGGGAGGAGGGACTGGGGAGATGGCTCAATGGAATAAACGCTTCCCTGGCAAGTGCAAGGGCCTGAGTTCAATCCCTGGTTCCACACACACACACCAAAAAGAAAAAAAAAGAAAAAAGAAAAAAAAGTATGAGAAAGGATTATAAAGCCTTAAAATATAAACACTAAAATAAATACAGTATCACTACACTGATTTTCACATAAAAAAAGAAAAACTACTGCCCCGTGTCACTGCCTTTGTGGGTATGGAGAAGATTGCTTACTTCTTAAATTTAAATACATTCTTTATATATACATACTAGATATTAGTCCTTTGTCTAGGAAGTAGTTGGCACAAATTTTCCACATTCTGTAGGCTGTGTCATCACTCTGTTAGTGATTTCCTTTGCTGTGTGGAAGCTTTTTAATTTGATGTGATCCCATTCATCAATTTTTGGTATTATTAATTATGCAACTGGGATTGTGTTCAGAAAGTTGTCTGTACCTGAGTCTTCTAGAGTTTTACGTGTTTTGTCTTCCAACAAATTGTTTCTGTTCTAATGTCTAGATCTTTGATCCATTTTGGTTTTAGCTTAGTGCATGGTGAGAGGTACGGTTCTAGGTTCAACCTTTGGCATGTGGATAGTCAGTTTTCCCAATACCATTTGTAAAACATGCTATCTTTCCTTCAGCAAAGGGATTTGTCCCTTTGTCAAAAATAATATAGCTGAATGTGCCTGTAGTTGTTTCTGTATTGTCTGACCTTTCCATTGATCAATGCCTTTGATTCTTTCTCCTATTTCTTTGTTGGTTTCCTTTCCAAAATGTCATATAAATTTTCTACTCAAAGTGCCGACCAAATAGCTCAGCAGATTAAAGCACCAGAAGCAGGCACAGGGGCTGGGGGTTTGATCCCCAGGCCTGTCGTGCTGGTCCCGTGCCTGGGGTACACTGAGCTGGCAATTGAGACTGGGCATGGTGGTGAGCACCTGTAATCCCAGCTCCTGGGAAGCTGTAAACAGGTGGATCACTATGAGTCTAATCTAGTAGTTCTAGTGAGACTCTGAAGACCCTGTAGACCCTTCCCTAAAATAAAAAAAATAAAAAATAAAAAATTCTGCTGAAGAGAGAACAGATTTTTCCCCTTTATAAGTAAGCCATATAGTGTATTTCAGCTGTTCTTACACATGTTAAATGACCAAAATACAATATAACTATTAAATTCCTGTTGTTATACTTTTTCTACTTACATGCTGTCAGTCTTTAATCACTACTGCTGTTACTGAACTTTATATCCTCTGTATTTTCTAATTTGATATGAAATGGAAAGTAGATGACCAGGCTTTACAGATCTATGTGTCCTAGAAAGAGAGAATATAGGTTTTTTACTCTGTAGGCTTAGTGATGTGTATTTTGTACACTAGATAGCTGTTTACCTAAGTTAACTACTGTAACTCAATGTATTCGTATAGTCATTCTTTTCTCCTTAGTCTTTTTTCTTTTCTGCTGGAGAAACATGAATGTGAATCTCTAGGGAATGAGAGCATTAGTTAATACTTGAGACAGCTCAAAAGATTTTGTATATTTTTTTCCTTTGGGGGAGGTACAGTGTTTAGTTTTATTTTATTTTATTTTATTTTATTTTATTTTATTTTATTGTTTTAAGAATTCAACCCAAGGCCTGTGCACAATAGGCAAGCACTCTACCAATGGTTACATGTCTAGATCTTCACTTTTATTCTTAAAAAATATACCAGGTATATTGTAATGTGAAAAGTCATGTGTTCATTTTAGGTAAACAGCCATACTTAGATACAATTTGCAATTCAAGGATATGTGTATTACATTTATCTATGAGCTTGAGTAGCTGTAGCATAGTATAGATTACCAGGCACAGATGCCATCTTCTTTGTTATAATATAGTTCTTGGTGGGGATACAGAAATATTTATATCTGTTATTTATGAATGTGCTATCCATAGTATATTTTACTAGTGTAATTATGTATGTTCTGGGAAAGTCTATTCTGAGGTGGAATTAGATTTCTTTAAAGCATGTTAAAATGTTTATTAATGTATTATTAACACTTCTTAAAAGTTTAGTAACATACTAAGGTAGATCTTTTGTCTCTTTATAAGCTGTTTTTTTATCAAATATATACATATTTTATTCAGGTATGACCCAATTTACTTAAACTAATATCAAGATCCTAATCTGATTTAAAGGCACTTGCTTTATATCTATGTAGAATTGGAATAGAAGAATATAGTTTTATTGATATAGATCTCAGGGAGCCCTGGATATAACAGTGACATAATCTTGCTTGGAGAATCTTTTATAATTTTTACTTGGTAGGTATATACTTAAAAAAAATTCTCTTTGTTTTCATAGGATCCCAATTGAGTCAGTGCTTTACCTTATTTCTCAATGCTCACCGTAAAGTTCAGCAATGCCAACTGGTAAGTCTTTTACAAAGTTTATGCACAAAATTCATACTTATACATTTTCTTTTAACTTCAATTATTTTAACAGGTTTATTTATAATGAATAAAGTGAATGTAACTAGCTAAATATTATATTTAAAAATGGTAATAATATTTTAGGGTTGGTTTCTGGTGCAGCTGCTCAACTCTGTCATTAAAGCATGAAAACAGCATAACTGTTGTTAACTTAATGAGCATGTCTGATTTCAACAAAACTTCACAAAAACAGATGACTGCCCTGTAGGCCACAGTTTGCCCACATCTGGATTCAGCATTTATTAATCTAAAATATTTACTGGCTACTAATTCTGTGCCAGACCTCATGTTAATAGCTAGATAATGTAAATATAAACTACATGCTTAACTAATTATCTGTATCCCAGTGGAACTAAGGGCTATGAAAAAAAGAACTGCCTACTAAGTGAGAAACAGGAAAATTTAGATGAAGTGGTCCATAGAGGAAGAACTTAGGCAGCTTAGTGCCCATTTGGTGAAGAGTTAAGTAAGTATGCACTGGGTAGAAGCAGCTTTATTCACATGGAAGGCCCGGCTCTGCTGAGGGAGCTACAAGAAAGACAGCACAGCTAGGATGCTTGTCTTGATTTGAGGCTCTGGCAGGTTATGAAGTACAGAGCCCTTCAGGGCCTGTGAAGGACTTGTTTTATCCTAACTGAAATGGGAACTGTCTAGAGTTTTAAGCAGGTGAATGGCATGATATATTAAAGGAAAAATAACTTTCAATACTTGTTAAATTCCAACTTAGAAGCTGATCAAGTGTCAGTCATTTTTCATGCAAATTGCTCTTTGCAGAGTTGTCATTTTACGGACAAGGAAAATGAAGTTTAGGAATGTTAAGTGACTTATGTAAGGGTGTATGAGTAACAGTGATAGATGCTACTGTGCATGAAATGTGATACGCTAACTTAGCAGAGGAGACCTTGAGAGAGTAGCCAAAAAGTTAAAAAGATTCAGGTGAGAATGATATTACCAGAGCTAAAAGGAAAAGTATTTTAATGGGGAGGGATTGTACTGTTGTTTTAATGTACTAGAGAACGTATGCAGATATTTACAAGACATTATCTTTATAATAATAATGCAGGTGTATTTTGTAATAGAGTTGCTTAGGAAAATAACATGAGTCTTTGTTTTGTAGTTGAGAGTGAAGCCAAGGTAAAAACCAAAGTTCGCTTTGAAGAATTATTGAAGACCCACAATGACTTAATACGTGAAAAGAAAAAGCTGAAGAAAAAACTCAGAGATGACATCTCAGTGAGTAATTGATCATTTGGTTTCCTAACATAAATATCTACATGAAATCGTGGCTTTCATGTTAAAATTCAGTTTTTGAAATTAAAAAAAGTAAATCTGTGTCCTGGTTAGTAACACATGGAAAGATGAAGTTTATGTTAGCAGTATCATCACTAGTAGAGTTTTGAACTGTGTTTTGAGTGTTATCACTGATGAAAAGTGTTAAGTTTGACTGATGAAAGTGACAATGATATGGGAGACAAGTATGAGGTGTTCTTCCATGGGCAGAAATGGCTAAAACTAAAAGAAATGATAAATAATGAGGATGTACAGACATATTTGGCCTATAAATAAATGGCTTCCTTGGGATTAAAAAAGGTCTGTGAGAAGATGAATCCATTTTACAATGCAGGTAAAATTTATGAGATGATGACTATATGTAGAAACATTTTTTTTAATTTCAAAAAAGAAATTTTATGAATACCGAAATGATTTCAGACTTTGCTCTAAAGACACTCAATTGAAAAGGCACTGAAGAAGTATCGAGAGTAATGAGTGAACAGTTGTGAACCAGAATGTTGTAGCCCCAGTAGTCATTTGTGAGAGCAACAGTAAACCTGAACCTGTGTGAGGGAACTGTGCGAGATGCTTTACTTGAAGATACAGTATAATTTTTAGACAGGAGTCAAACATAAGCATCTTACTATGGAAAGCTTGTAATTTGAAAATATTGTTCAATGAGCCTAAAAGTCAGTTTAATGCATAGAACTGTCTTGATTTATTACATGTGCCAAAAATAGTTGCTGGAGTAGTCTTCAACCTAAGATGATATTATGTCCTCATAAACCCATTTTAAGTTGAAAAGATACCTGATATCCTGAACATGCAAACCTAGTAACAGTTCCTTATGGAGTGCTGGTGGAGCAGACAGGGAGCTGCATACTCTGCTGCTCCTGGGTAACTCAAGAGAATATAATACCACATATAGTGAACCTGGGGAAGGAAGCAAGTTCAAGGTAAAGGCTGAGACTATGGAGATAACTTAGCAGTCCAAGTACCTGCTTAGGAAAGTGCAAGAACCCCGGTTCGATCCCGGGTACTGCATGCCCTGCTGGCCCAGCCCCTGGCATGCTGATCTGGCCACCAAGACCATGTGTGGTAGCACACACCTGTAATCCCAGCACTGGAGAGGCAGAAACAAGAGGACCACTAGGAGTCCGAGCTGCATAGTGAGACCCTGTACCAAATACATAAAATTAAAACAACAACAATAAGAAACCCGAAGTAAATGCTGAGCACATGTGATAGCACATGCCTATCACTGTACCACTCAGAAAGTGAGTCAGATGATTCTGCACAGCTTAGTAACTGAGCAAGACCTTATCTCAAAACATAAAAAAAAGGGGGAGTTGGGGGATGTAGCTGAGTTTGAAGGCCCTGGATTCAATATCCAGTACCACACAAAAAGTATTATTTCTACTTCTTTGTATGATCATAAAGTCAACAAATCATAAGATAAGGACTGCTGGGCATTGTAGCGCACACCTGTAATACCAGCATTTGGGAAGCTGAGGCTGGAGGATCGCAGAGAGGTCAAAGCTAGCCTGGGCTACATAATGAATTCAGGACCAGCCTGAACTGTATAACAAGACTCTGCCTCAGAAAAATAAATAAACAAAAGATAAGGCCTACTTAGATATAATAACATATGGGTTTTCAGAGGTTGCATAAGCACCTGCCTATTAAGTGCAAGATCCCAAGTTCTGTCCCCCATACTGCACAAAAAAAAGGAGAAATAAATAAATAAGGACAAACTCTTAGTCATGATAATAAATATAAATGGCTATAGCTTTCTGTGTTAAAAATCACATACTACAATAGATTTTTTTAAAATTTTTTTTTATTTTAACATTTAGTGTGTGTGTGTGTGTGTGTGTGTGTGTATGTGTGTGTGTGGCCAGCTCAGCCCACCAGGGGGTGCGGCTGGCTGGCATATGGTGCTGGGAGATTGAACCACCGTCCCTGTGCTTTGCCAAGCTTGTTCCAAGTAGGTGCTTTAGACCACTGAGCCATCTCTTCAGCCCCTACAATAGATTTTTAAAGTAGCAGAATCACACATCAAATAAGTTGACCGTAGAGCATTTATGAATATATATTGAAAGGACAAAAAAAAACCTAAGGAATATATGGTTGAAATTAAAAGAATAATCCAACTCAACCAAATGGTTCCCACCAAAAGCTCAAGAATAGCTTATTACCTGGATTTTGACCAGTATTAACAAATTAATACAGATAAACTGAATAAAAACCATATGAATATATAAAAATATAAAAAACATTTTTATTGAAAACAGGATGCTGTTGATTTCTAATAGTGAGATGTTCATGTATATGAAAATTATGCTCCCTCTGAGGCTCAGGTAAAATGAAAATCCACACATATACAAGGCATACTATGTAAGACTACAGTTTTCCATGGCTCCCATTGAGGAGGACAGATAAGCCGTGGATGACCTGTAAGAATCTAGCCTGTAGGTTCTAACTTTCAAATCAGGACCATAGGAAAGATCTCTTTTCCTGATGTGTATTTAATATTCCTGATGTTTTGGTAATATAGAATGTGAAACATAGATAGTGATATGTTAGGCTTTGTTTCAACTGATATATGTCTATAGTACATGCCAGAAATCATACTAAGTCCTTTTCATGCATTGACTCATCTAATCTTTATAAGTTTTGCAAAATAAAACAGGTTGGAGAACTAAGGCAGAAAGGTAAAGAATTTACTGAGGAACATACAATAAATATTAATGAATTCAGGTCCTTCTGATGCCATGTCTTGTTTCCATGACAACTGTGCTGTACTGCCTCCCTCTGGGCAAATATGTGATTCTGAGGATGACAGATTATCATTATTGATAAGTCTGTTAATATTATTAGAAATCTTAGGTGAGGTGAGTGTACAAATAGATAAGAACCAACAGTATAAAAATCTGTTACAGCTAGAAAAGAGTTAGAAAATATTGGATGAAAAGGTACACGTAACAGACAAATATCACATAAATAAAAATTATAAAAACTTTGAGAGGGTTGAATAAAACTTTCAGAGACACAGATTTAGTTTGAAATATGTTATGAAACATTACAAAAGACTTTATACAAAAGACTTTATACATGGGCTGGTGAGATGGCTCAGTGGTCTAAAGCACCTACTTAGAACAAGCTTAGCAAAGCACAGGGACCGCGGTTCCATCTCCCAGCACCACAAGCCAGCCGGCCCCGCCCCCTGGTGGGCTGAGCTGGCCACACACAAAAATAAAATAAATAAATAAATAAATAAAGACTTTATACATACCGGGCATTTTTTTAAATTTTATTTTAAATTTTTATTTTGTGTGGTGCTGTAGATAAAACCGAGGGCCTTGTATGTGCTAGGCAAGCACCCTGTCAGTGAGCTATAGCTATAAAATGAGAAAGGAGAAAAATTATATCCTGAGCTGCAGATCAATATTTTGTTATTTTTGGGAAATTAATATTTGTGTTTAACTGTATTATAATCTCTAGTCACTCCTTATAGTTTTACATTTTATTTTGAGGCAAGATCTCATGAGTTTGCTCAGGCTGGTTGTAATCTTGCAATCCTCCTTCCTCCACCCCCTGAGTAGCTGCTGTTGCAGTGCGTGCCATTGTGCCATAGGGAACTTTTGTTTTTCAAAGAGGGAAGTTTAGTTAACATAGCTGATTATCATATATACTATATTAACTTGCTTTTTTCATTAATTTTTTTCTCCTTTCTCATTTTATTATTTAACTGTTATTTCATAGCAATAATATCTTCTGTAATTTATGAATTACATTTCTAAAACTTGTTTATGCACAATTAATTTTGAACAGTGGAAAATCTGGGTTTTCTATGTTTTACTCTAACCATATATTAATTCTTCATAAATATTGAACTTATAAATAAATTTACCTTTTTGTTTTGCTCCGAATGCCTTCAGGGCATGATTGGCTGGCTTGAGTTGTGGGGATAGAATCACAGCAACCTGAGCCTGACTGCTTTGTTGAAGCAGCCACTTAAAGAGCTGAGCTAAGGGGCAGGCCCCCAAATTTACCTTTTAAAATACTTAAATAACCCATAAGTGTAAAATTATATTAACTCTGGCAAATTTAAACTCCATTCTTCTCAGCGAGTAGCTCAATAAAGAAAACTGTAAGTGGATCATGCCGATGAAATAATTTAACTATGTCCCTAAAGTACAGCTCAATAATTCCGAATAACGTTCCACCGGAATCCAGCAGCCAGCAGTATAAAAGTCATAATATCTGATAGCAAGAGAAATACTGCAGGAATTTTTAAAGAAGATAGTATGTCCTATAACTAAACTACAAACCAATCCACATAATTAGGTTTTAGGAGAAGCATAGGAGACAGAAAAAGATACACAAGACACAATCAGACATAAAAAAGATAAAATTGAACTTGTAGAGATTTTAAAAATACACTGTTTGAAATTAAGACTCAGTGGAATTAACATATTACAGACTACAAAAAATAATCAGCACTGGGTGTGGTGTTGCACACCTGTAATCCCAGCACATGGGAGACTGAGCAAGGAGGAGTGCTGTGTGGGTGAGCCATAACGCTGTCCACAAAGTTGACTTGAGTTTTCTAGAACATTGTACTCAACAGTAGTTGTATCCTAGGGCCAGGGAAACAGCGGAGCAGCATAAGCGCCTGACTTGCATGTGCAAGGTCCTGAGTTCAATCTCTGGTACTGAAAAGAAAAGAAGAGTAATCGTATTCTAACGTGCCTTGAATATTCTCTAAGACAGATAACTAATCTGAGACATAAAAAGAATCCAAATATGTTTATTTTAATAACCCAAATGATACACAGAAATTAAAAAAGAGGGAAGGTATAGAAACATGAGCAAATGTGTTTGAGTCACTTCAAATTCAGTCCTCTAATGCCTGGAATTATTTAATTTCACAAATCAAACTCTATAACTGGACGTATACAACAAAAGAACTAGAAGTTAACAACAAAAGCTTATAAGATACTTAGAATTTATCTTGTAAAGTTATTAGAGGGAAAACAATCAAAATCACAAAACATATTTAAAAAGTAATGAAGGGGGCCTTCCGGTTAACTCAGTTGTTTAAGCACCTGCTCATGCAAACGCAGTCAGGCGAAGGATACCACTGTTCTGTTCGTTTAGCAGCTCAACCTGCCTTACCAGACTGGGCCTTAAGGCAGCCTGAGCCAGCCCCAAAAAAAAATCCTCAACTTTGTTTTTTTTTTTTTTTTTTTTTTTTTTTTTTCAGAACTAGAGATTTGAACTCAAACCCTTGTGCTTGCCAGGCAAGTGCTTATTCTACTGAGCCATCTCCTCAGCCCCTAATAGCTCAGCAGATTTAAGTGCCTGCAGGCAGGCACAGGAGCCAGGGGTTCGATCTCTGGGCCTGCCATGCCAGCCCTGCCCCTGGGATGCACTGAGATGGCAATTGAGACTGAGTCCGGTAGCGCTTACCTGTAATCTCAGCACCTGGGAGGCTGTAAACAGGTGGATCAGTATGAGTCCAGTCTAGTAATGAGACTCTGAACACCCTGTAGACCCTTTCCTCAAATACAAAAAAAAAAAAAAAAAAGTAATGAAAATATCAGCATAATCCTATGCAATGAATGGGTTGCTATCAAAGATCCTCTGGGAATTATGTTTATTATAATATACAAGAAAGGATAAAGAAAAACACAAAATAACAAATACAGTTCTGAGGTTGTAGCTCAGTGTTATAGCACTTGCCTAGCCTGTGTTTGTTCCTTATCTATAAAATTTCTTGGTTATCTCTATTTCCAACATTTCAGGAGTGTGTCCTAATAGATTGTGTATATTATTCATTTCTGGTATTCACTGAAAAAGTGGAAAATTTTGTATATGCTTCATTTTTACATAATGAAAATATAACTATATTCATAAAAAAAAGCAAAAAAATTCTGGAAAGATTAGTGATGTTTTTATTTCTAGGAAGCAACCAGAGTTGAGTTTTGAATCTGCCTTTTCTTTTTGGTACTTTCTGTATTTCTTTTTCTTTGTGAAATCCTTTTGAAGCTTGGTGCCATGCTGTGTGTCTGTAATTCCAGCGTCTCTGTAGGCTGAGAGTGTAATAAGGTGGAAACCAGCCTGGGCAACATAGCAAGACCCTATCTGAAAACAGCTGAACAAAAAACCTGTTTGTAGGGGCTGGTGCGATAGCTCAGTGGTCTAAAGCACCTAGTTAGAACAAGCTAAGCTAAGCAAAGCAAAGCACAGGGACCGCGATTCAATCCCCCAGCACCACATGCCAGCCAGCCCCGCCCCCTGGTGGGCTGAGCTGGCCACACACACACACACACACACACACACTAAATAAATAAGTAAATGTAAAAAAAAATCACTAATTAAAAAAAAATCTGTTTGTGATTAAGTACTTTTGCTTCTAACAAAACATGTGAAAGTAAACTTCCTTTTTTGCTTTAAAAAGGTAGGCTATTTTTATTAAATTTGATTAAGGAAGTTCTTTAGAGAATATGGTTTCATAATTTACTCTTGACAATTAAATAGTATTTGGAATATTGTAGGTGAGCAAAAGACTCTTGGAGATGGTAAAATATTAAAATATGGGCTGTTATGTGATATTTTTTCATCCTTTTTCCATCTGGTTTTCTCATGTATTGGATATTTTCTAACAACTTTTAAGTGGGAAATTAAAGATGTTAAACCTCATTATTCATCCATTTCTGAGAGAATTTTTCATTTTCATTTCTGGCTTCCTCCTGAACATTTTGGTTTTTATCCATTCTGTTTTGCAACATATCTGTTAAATTTATATTACTAGTGCTCAAAATTTTCTAAAATTTGCAATTTATTTTTATCAAACTTGCTTTTGTATTTCTTTATTAATATGCTTACTTTAAATCCTTATTTTGCTTACACCAGGCATTTTCTTTTGGTGCTTATTTTTCTTTTTGTTGGATATGGTATAGTGCACTCTTTCCCTCTCTTTCTCCCCTCTACTTTCATTTAGTGTTTATTAATTTATAATTCTCTAGTCATTTTCATATTTGAGAATCAATCTTCTGCCTGCTGGTTGCTTTTAACATACTCTGCACCACTGTTTGTGGGGGCTGATCCTGCCCTTTCTCTGCTTGGCAGCTTAATCCTCTGGGGAACAGTCATCAGGGATATAAATGGAGGTGTAGGAAGAGCTGTGCACCAGGCTGCAAAGTTACCCATCCTCAGGCATGACCCCTGTTTAGTCCTTAGTGCACCTGCCTCTAATAGGGAGGGTTCTCCAGAGATACCCTTACCTTTGGAGGACACTGTTCTAATGGGTTGAGGGTTTTTTGAATTTTTTTTTTTCTCATGGTAGTTTCTCCATAGATGTAACTTCTTGTATTTTTTAATTCTTGGGAAAAATTTCTCAAAGTATTTATCTTCTAGTAGTAGTCCTTTTTGATTGTCAGCCTCTTACTGTTTTTTTGTTTTGTTATTTTTCCTGTTAAGTATATATCTCACTTTTCAAATGTTTGGAGAAAGAAGTGCAGGTATGGGCTCAGTTTAATCATTGGATTTTACTTGATATTTAATATTTGGTAGCATTTTTGTGATATAGTTGTACTAATGTCAGGGTAATCTTAGAGCTGTAGACTTGCTTTTAGAGTGAACTGTGAAGATAAATGGCCCATGTAGGTTTTGTTGGTGAACCTGTAGTGATTTGTACTCACTAACTCTAAGGAGTTTCTCAAATATTCCTTGATTAGAGTTTGAATCATTCTGCCAGTAAAGAAAATTATATTATAGATTCAAGCCATTAATTTATTTCTGAAATGTGATTAAGTACTTTCTCTATGCTAATTGTCATTTATGTATTTATTTTTCTGTATTTAGGACAGGGTCTACAGGGTGTACAGGGTCTCACCATGTAGATCGGACTCAGTGATTCTCCTGTTTTCAGCCTCCCAAGTGCTGGGATTACAGGTGTGCGCCACCATACCTAGTCTCCATTGCTGTCTCAGCGTGCCCTGGGGGCAGGGCTGGCACAGCATGCCAAGGGATCAAACCCTAGTACTAGGCCGCTGTACTAGTTATCATTAATTTAATCTGATGTTTCTTTCAGGATTACTAATTTAATTCTGGGAGCAAAAACTGGAACTGTGCTCCTTAAATGTTTTATTATAGTCTTACTCTGTCCAGGTAAAAAACTGAATAATCTCCCCAGTATTCTCCATTGATGATTAGTAATCATTGTTTTTACATTTATATTGCTTTGCTGAAGCTTAACATGTTCCATCTTTTCTTCCTAGCTTGACATTATTAAAAGCAGCTCTCAGAGTATTAAAGAAGCTAAAAGTGGTGATGTAAGCTGTACTAGCGTTAATACGCTGGAGAAGAGCATGGGAGTTGCCAAGAACAAGCTGAGGAATTCACAACTGGCACCTGAAAATCCAAATGGTGGTGTTAGTGAAGAGGAAGATGAGGAGGGGAAGCCACACAAAAATGTTCCAAAGGCAGCACAAAAAAGGGAACCACAGCCTCCTGAGAAGAAAAATTCCATGTATCAGAAATCGCGAACAAAGTCCCAGTCAGGTATAGAGTATCAGGAAAGTGGGAAAGCAAATGAGGGGAGAGAAAATAATGATATGGTAAGAGGGGAAGAAGAACTGATGCAAGCCTATCAGCTCCAGGCAGCCGAAGAGATGGCAAAGGAGATTAAGAAGAAAATAAGAAAGAAACTAGATGAACATTTAACCAACTTTTCCTCAGATACTTTATTGCCTGATGACAAATTGAGCAGTGAAAAAAAAAGAAAAAAAAAAAGGAAAGTTCCACTCCTGCCCAAAGCTGAAACAAGGTACTTCATACTGATAAAAATAAAATTTAAAGATAGAAAATATTTTTTCATGTTTTGAGTGATAATTAGCTTAAGAATTAAGAAAATTCTTAGTCTTTATTAAAAGACATTTTTCTACGATAATAATGGTTAACCTTTATACAGCACCTTCCTATGTGCTAGAAGATTCATAAGAAGTAAGTCTTTTATCCTTTGAAATGGTCTTATGAGGAAAACTAATACTGTCTTACTTGGCTGAAGAAGAAACTGGAAGATTTAAGTCTCAGGTCTAGCAAGAGGCTGACACAGAGCCCTGATAGTGTAGCTCCAAGTATCTGCTTATTTAAATCTGCTTTCAAAGCAATAGAAGCCAAATTAGCCCTCTTTTTGAGAGTAGTCTGTTTGAATATATAGATACAGATTTTTTCCTTTATTTTCCAAAAACAGATAATTATCCAAAAGATAATTACTATTGGCAACTCACTGTTCACTTAGTCTTTTCTTTATGACTCTTATGTGTTTGTATATATGGTATAGGTTTCTTATGTTCATATTTGCTGGGTCTTTATTCCCCTCCTCAGAAAAAAAAAAATAATAACCTATAAAATCTTTAACCAACAACTTTTTTCTTCATTTAGAGAAGCAACTTATAGTGGGAACATTCTGTTTATGACTGTTCTTTGGCATTCCAGGGCAACTTCCCCTTAACCTCAGCTAAAAAAAATTTCCCTCTTATCAAAAGCTGAATGACCAGTAGTAAGAAAGAGAATGGAAATTTGCTGTAGGGATATGTTAATAATAAAAGTATTAGTTATCTGTTGCTACTGTCTTAGTCACTTTTCTCTAGCTGAGAAATAATTCCCAACACCCACAAGGAAAAGAAGAGAGGTGTCTTTTGGCTCACATGTACAGTCCTTGGTTGCTGGCTGCTGGCCTGGACGGCTTGGCAGAGGGGCATAGCAGAGCGGAGGTGTTCGTGTCACAGCATACCCACAGGAAGCAGAGAGAAGGGAGGTGCTAGGGAGAGTTAGAGCCTCCAGGCCCTGCTCCCAGTGATGCTCCTCTGGGCATATGTGTGACTAGGCGCCCTCCCCTCAGCTTAATACAAGCCTGCTCCAAGCTATCATAATCTAATAATCCTTCCAAAAGCCTTGACACTTGAGTGCATGAGGCTCAATGGAGACAACTACATATACACCAAGCAGGTACATTTAAAAATTAGCTGAGAACAAAGTGCCTTAGATCAACACATTGATTCTCTCATAGTTTCTGTGGTTTTGGAGCGTAGGAGTAACTTAGCTGCATGCCTGATTCTCAGAGGCTCCCACAGGTTGCCTTCAGATGTTAGCCAGTGCTGAAGTGAGCTGAAGCCTCACCTTGCAGAGGACCTGCCAAGTGCCATAGCTCTTAGAGGGCCTTGGAAATTGCACTTCTAAGCTCAGTCATAGTCAGTGGCTCTTGGCAGTTCTGCCTGTCCAGAGACATTGGTTCCTTGCCACATGGCCCCTCCATGTGTGCTGCTCAGTGTGACCATTTGCCTCTCTAGAGCAGAGGCTTTGAAGGAGCAGAACAAGGCAGAAGTCAGTCTTTTTAGGACCTAATCTCAGAAACGGCATCCATTACTTTTGCATTGTCTGTTAGAAGTAGGAGAAAGGTAGATGTACTTAAATAATACTTCATGATGTGACACAATGCATAGATGTCTGGAATGACCGATTTTAAAATTTGTCTCTCTTTATTACTCAGCTCTTTTTTTAAAAATAACTGAATATTTTGGAAGTCATGTTTTTATTATTTAAATGCAGATGTACTTGATAAATTACAAACTTTCAGGGAGTGAGCATTGAACCCAGGTCCTTTACACTGTGGTACATCCCCCTTTCTAATTTTGAGACAATGTCTTACTAAGTAGCTAAATTCCCCAGGCTGGGCTAGGCTTGGGATCCTGCTTCTGCCTTCTAGAATACTGAGATCATAGATGTGCCACCATTGCTGGCGCAAAACAAATTTGAATGGTTTAGTTTGTCTTTAAAATCATTGTATTCCAGGGAAGCCAACCCTTACCATTTATGAGTCATGTGATTCAGACAATAATTTTCACCTAGAAATCAAAAGTTGTATTCCTTTTTTTTTATTTTTTATTTTTTATTTTTTTTAATATTTAGTGTGTGTGTGTGTGTGTGTGTGGCCAGCTCCGCCCACCTGGGGGCGGGGCTGGCTGGCATGTGGTGCTGGGAGATCAACTGCAGTCCCTGTGCTTTGCCAAGCTTGTTGACAGCCATCTCTCCAGCCCCAAAAGTTGTATTTCTGAAGCCTCTTAAAAATGGAACAAGCCTAAAGCACTTTTTCTTTTGCCTTTTGTAAAGTACTTTTGAAATGTGTTAATTGCTAACTTGGCATCAGGGTGACAGTGCTCTAGTTGGTCTCATGTAAACAGATTCCATTGCTTATAAAATATAGTTCTATTTTCTGCTGAGGGTTAGCATTCATTTTAAGTTGGCTCATGGAAAATTAACTCCTCACCAAGCATACTTAAAATAGAACCCGAGATGTCTCATTTGATACCTAATCATTTTATTATGTAAGAAAAATCTGTGCTCCCAACAGAAAATAATCATCTAGCATTATCATTGCTTCTGTGTTGTTTTCTGTTGCACCTGAATGATGATTATAATTATTACCATATGTTTTTAATGGCTTGTATTTGGATTGCATTTTAGCACATTGACTGTCTCTGATGATGCAGTGGAAAGTGAACAAAAGGAGGAATCCTCAGGTGGAGCTGTTATTTCAGATTCTCACCAAGATGGTGAAATGAGCTCAATGGAACAAAATACAGATGACAACTTGGCAAAGAACACAAAATCCAAACCAAGGAAAATAAAAAAGAAGACTAAAGCAGGTTTGTTACCCCAGCTAAGAGAAAAGCCATGTGCCTTGGTTGAAATAACTTGACCCAAGGGTACAAGCTCTTAATGCTAACACTAAAGGATAAAATTTAAAATAATTCAATGTAGATGTTTGCTACGTGATCTTGATTCACTTAGATGAAACCAGCCATTTATTTTTAATGATGGGTTTCCGTGATGAGTTTGTGTTATGTGAGTCAACCTCCTGCCTCTTGACTTTAATTCAGCTTTAAAGTCAGTGACTTTGTAATTGTTCTTTGTGGCATAGAAAAAAAAATTTAAACCATTGAATTTATAGCCCTAAATGGCTAAGAATCCACTGTTGAGAGCTACAATGGTCAACAGCCAACATTATAGATATTAGGTTTGCGTCCCTCTTTGACTCATAGTGTCTTTTTGGTTCCTCAGTCTAGTTCAGCTTCGCTGCATCCTCCTGATTTTCCTTTCCCCTCTTGATTTCTGTTTTCTATCTAAAATATTCAATTTTAGTGTTTGTGGGTCTTAGTCATTGAAGGATGCAGTTGGTGATGTTTTGTGCCTCTTGTAGTTCATATTTTTATAGCTTTTGTTGAAGAATAATACACATAGAGAAAGAGGTATCACAAATGTAGTGTTCATTGAATTTTCACAAACTGAACATACCTATACAATCGTCTCATTTGCTTTTCTCTCATTGCTGGGACAAAATATCTGACACCCAAGGAAGGAAGGAAAGGTTTACTTAGCTTATAGTTTGTGGAGGTTTCAGCCCATACTTGGCTGGCTCTAAGGCAGAGTGGCACATGGCAGAGGGCAGCCGTTCATGGAGGTAGAAAACAGCAAAACAGCAACAGCAAATGGGAGGAGCAGCGGCAACAATGGCAGCAGACAAGCCTCTCTCCTTTCCTTTTATTGCCTTCAGTTTATCTACCCCAGGGTGGGTGCAGCACTCACACCCATAATCCCAGCACTGGATCAGGAATTAATCACAAAGTCCAGAAGCCATCCCATAACTGCATGAGGCTTTGGGAGACAACTAGACACAAACCCTAACCATAATCATCATTCAAATCAAAGAACAGAATATCATTAACAAAACAGAAGCGTGATTAGTACCGAAAAGATCTTTCAAGTTCCCTTTGGTTTGGTTCTGTACTGATTAACCATTACCACGCTGACTAGAACAGTTTTGGGTTGGTTTTTTTTTTTTTTTTTTTTTGCCTGTTTTTGTGTATTAATATAGATAGAATCATAAATACTGGGCTTTTGGTACCTGGCTCCCTCACTTAGTGTTATATTTATAAAATTTATACTGTTGTTATATTGTGAGTGTTGAGTATAACAATTAATTTACTCTATTGATGGTTACTTAGTTGTTACTAGGTTTGGGCAATTCCAAGAAAAGTGTATTAGAAGTAAGAAACATTCTGTAGTCAGTTTTTGGTGAACGTCTGTATACATTTTTGTCAGGCCTATTCATAGAGATAGTCTAAGAATATCTCTTAATATATTCTTATGACTTATATTATGTATCTTTTAGTAGTTCTTTCTGGTTTTCCAGATTAGGTTACCAAATAATACCAGCAGTGTTTCAGAATTCCAATTGCTCTACCTCTTCACCAACATGTACGTTGTTGGACTTTTAAAATTTTAAATCATTTTTAGGGATATATAGATGCATTTTCATTTTGACTTTAATTTGATTCTTATTAAAGCTAGCTGAGTATCTTCATATGTATTGACTACTTAAATCTTGGTTTTGTAGATTTCGAATGTTCTGTGTGGTTTTTTTTAAAAAGTTGTCTTTTTCAGGACCGCAAGATAGCTCAGTGGTCTAAAACACCTGCTTAGGCAAGTTTAGTTAAGTATGCAGGGACCACAGTTTCAATCCCTGGCACCACCTCCATGCCAGCCCTGCCCCCAGGGTGGGCTGAGCTGAACCACAAAAAAAAAAAGTTGTCTTTTTCTAATTCATATGTGGGAATGTCTTATACCCTATGTAAGTATTTCTTGATATAAATGTTTGCCCCCCCCCCCACGTATTACAAGCATCTTGCCTTTCTGTGTTTTATTATTTCTCTTATGAGTAACTTTTGAAAAACAAATTTTTATACTACACATTTTATGCATTATTTTCTTTGATATTACATCTACTGAGAAACTACAAGAAAAAACCCACAATCCGTTAGAACAGTCTCCTCCAAAGAGCATTTGCGGAGAACCCTCCAATTAGAGGCGGGTACCCTAAGGACTAAAGAGGGGTCATGCCTGGGGATGGGTAACTTTGCAGCCTGGTGCACAGCTCTTCCTACACCTCCACTTATATCCCTGACGACTGTTCCCCAGAGGATTAAGCAGCTGAGTAGAGAAAGGGCAGGTTCAGCCCCCACAAACAGGCACAGAGTATGTTAAAAGCAGCCAGCAGGCAGAAGATTGATTCTCAAATATGAAAATGACTAGATAATTATAAATTAATAAACACTAAAAGAAAGTGATCACAAGAGAGAGCTACCATATCTAACAACAACAACAACAGAAAATGAACACCAAAAGAAAATGCTAATTAAAATGGAATTTTGCCTTTTGGTGTCTTTTTGCATTGTCATGTAGCTCTCTGCCCCAAGTAGCTCCTGATGTGTAAGGGGCAGATGTGTTTGAAGGCTTTTAAGTCTCCCTTATTACTCCAGCACTGCAAGAACACCAAAATTTCTGCTGTTTTCTCTAACCCTCAATAATGGTCTTCTGCTGTGCGGAGGGGAGGGTGCCACACCTAGTTTTTCAAATTCTAGCTGTAGTTTAGGATTGGTAAGTGACCTCAGGTAAAAATTGTATGGATCCTTACTAAAAAGTGGCCATGTTTTGTAAGATTTTACTTTTACTTACTCTGTTTCACATATTTACTCTTGGTGGGATGTGTTCTGCTAGCACCACTTGATGAGAGATTTTGTTACTGTAGCCTCCTGGTATCCTCACAATTCTGTTCTATGAGAGTTGTTAGATATGTGTTTGTGATTTTTCAAGCCTCTACTTTTATCACTGCAGTCCCAGGAAACTACGGAAAGTTTTGCTGGTTTATCCTTCTAGTAGTGATCTGCCTCGGCCAAATCCTGATGCTCAGGCTGAGCCCTGAATCAGCAAAAGTCCCCAAGACAAAAGCAGTTGAGGTTGTACGAGCTCGCTTCTGATGATTATTCCTCTCTCGAATTCTAGTATACATCATTTCTCTGTTTTTCTGATAACTTGAAAGTGGTTTTTATAATTTGTGCTTTCCACTTGGTGTTTACCTGAAGCATGGTCTACAGCATCTTGGTATATCTTATGTGAAAACAGAAACTTTAGTTGTAAATGAAGCAAGTGATTAATATTGCATCTAGAAAATACCTACATAAAAATAACTTGTTTTTAAGACTTTTTTTTCTCCTTTTGTGTTATTTGTCCTTCTTAGGGGAAAAAAAAATAGACCCTCATCCTATTGTAATGCATTAGTAAATGCAGTATTTAACTGTCAGTGTGTGGTCTGCTAGCGTCTGGCCTTTTCTTTCTTTTCTCTTGTTCTTGCTTATAGAATGAAATAATCATAAATCAGAAAGATTCATACATAAATCCAACTGAAAACAATAATACTGATTTTCTTCTTTGCATGTAGTTTCAGATAATAATGAAGAAATTAATGAGGATGGTGTCCATGAGGTGACAAACCAAGACAATCCAGCTAATCCCAAAAATATACTTGATAATGGCCTTGTCTTAGGAGTTTACATTCACCGAACTGATCGACTGAAGTCAGATTTTATGATTTCCCACCCAATGGTAAAAATTCATGTGGTTGATGAGAAAACTGGTCAGTATGTCAAGAAAGGTGACAGGTAATGTTTCACCTTGCACAGCGTAGCTTTTAAATTGAAACTGTCTAGAGCAGAAGTTTTCATTTCTGCTACTACTGGCAATAATTTAAAGCCAATTGAATAGAACTGTGAATTTATAGTAAGGAAGGGTCTGCTAGCTATGGGTGTTCATCAGTCGTTTCGATGTTTATAGAAGAAAGGAGAATCTCTGTTTATTTTTAGTAGAGAGCTTCCAGTAAACTTAATGGTTAATTTATGCCATAAAACTTGCATTATATATCATTTTGTATTATGAATGTAGCTCTATAGCTTCATGTTTCTCCTTCGAAAGTAATGTTCCTGGGACCTTGGGTGAGGTAAATCTTGAATTTTTTCCTGAGATCACTTCTACAAGCAAGACCTACATAAAGACCCAGATAAAATATATAATAATATGAGTGATCATACTGACATCCTCAAAAGTTAATTTGCTTGGAAAGGGAGAAAAATATGAAGATTATCACAAAAACTTATTTATTCCATTATTTGAGGTCATATAAAGAAAATATGGGGGGCCTTGGCCCTAGCTCAGTCCTTTAAGTGGCTGCTTCCACAAAGCTGTCAGCCTCAGGTTGCTGGAGTTCGAACCTCACAACTCTCCCGCTGGCCAAAAG